TACAAAGAGGAAACTGTGGTTGACCAACCTGATAGCTTTCTACAATGACTGTCACAGTGGATGAGGGGAGAGCAATGGACGTGGTCCCGGACAACCAGCTCTAGGTGGCCTGCTTGAGCAGGGAGGGGTAGAACAAGATGCTCTCCAAGATCCCTTCCAGCCTCAGCCATTCTGTGATTCTGTGAAATGAATCTGTAGCATTGTTAAGGACTACAGTTTGTGTGTGTGCTTGACACATACACCAAATAAGCAATTAAAACGCATGATAGGAGATAAACAATACAATGTATTAGGAGCATCTATAAATTGGAACTATATTTTGTATTCTGTAGCCCAGATGGCTGGAAGGGTGGACCTCTGCATACACCATTTAATTACCAGCACAGAGACCGATGCTTTCTGTTTGCTCACTGAGTAAAGGAATGTGAGCAATTAATTTTGAACTGAGAGTCTGATAAAAATTGAGTGGAGTCTGAGCTGCTGAAGAAAGTGAGTCCTAGAGCATTCAATATTAATTCTGACTATTCAAGAATCAGCCTAAAGGAGAGGCAGATCCTGGAAAGAAAACCAGGGAGCCCAATCTAGTAAAAATACTATCTGTGCTTCTGTTCCTAACTTTTTGCAATTTGTTCTCCTTTTATTCCACCTTCCCCTTCTTAGGACAAACTGGCAGTAGAGAGTGACTTGGAAAAAATATGTATAAGGAAATCTGTTGAGAACAACTGAAAGCAAGCCCACAGTGATCAAATCCATTGCACTTTGCTGGCTGCTCTCTGTGCAAAGTGATTTTGTTCCGCAACTCAGCAAAATGGCAATTTTTGCTCCAGCTAATTGCAGGTCACTGATTCTGTGGTGTTACAAACTGCTTAGGCTTACTAAAAACAAGAACTCACAGCCATATATCAACTATATGCGTGAACACAGACTATTTTTAGACCATTTATAAGCATGTGTCTTGAATGGGCCTGTTTTTCTCCATTCACGTTTAAGCATTTATCACCTGCAGGAACCCTGCTCCAGCAGCCACTCTGCTGACAGCCATGATAGGGCACCCTTCTTAAGACCAGGCAGACCTATTCTGAGAGTGTTGTACATACCTACTGATGAGAACCCATAGGAATAAGAAGCCAATTAAAATGCAATAGATGCCATGTTGGGAATATGGCAATCATACTTCAAAAATTTATTTGCTTTTTTTTTTTTTTTTTATGACTGGGTGTTAACTCCATTAAGTTTTAATGCACACTGGAATGCTGTGAATGACAAGTGGCAAAAATTGCTTTGAAACAATTCTTTGCTGTGACACTGTAAGGAGGACATTGCATTAAGAGTTTATTTCAGTAATACAAACTTCTGAGAGACTGGAAAATAAAATATTCCAAATGAACTTTAAATGTAGCATAAGAAGTTTCGTGTTTAATGGACAAAGCCTGTTCCCACTAAATGTAGCCTTGTACTGCCAAGAGGGCTTTGAAATAAAATAAAATCTAGAAGTGGCAAGTTTGAGGCTATTAGTGTCAGAGTCAGACAAGCCAAGCAATTCTAAACTAAGGTGATCTTGGTATTGAAGAAATCTGTTTGCATGAACTTTTATGTTCCCCTTCACTCTGGAAACCAAAGTTGTTCCCTTGAGAAGCTATCTGGCTTCTGAGGCATTTGCTGAAGCACGAGAAATACTACAAATGACTGCTTGAATCATTTCCAGATAATGAAGTATCTTTATTTAAAATCTGATCTTGATTAATGCTCAAAGTGCAGAAAAAAAGAAAATGAAATTGAAAGAACCTTCTAAAAGCTTCTTGTAAAGTAACAGTACTCGTCAGCAAAAATGAGACATCTTAGGGTTAACAACTACAGATTAGTCAAGTCCATAATTCTAGACTGAAACAAGAACTGTTTCTTCTAGTGTTTACTTCTTTGGCAAAACCCAGAAGGTATCACTTTTCATTATGAGGTAAACAAACTTTGCTAACAAAGATTTTCATTTAAGCTAAAAAGGAGGACACAGAAAATGAACAGTAAATGGGAAACAGCTTTTCACCTTTGAATGTCTCTGACAAACAGGACAGGTCAATGAACTGACGGTCTCCACTTCTGAATGGTCTCTTTGTTCAAGCAACCGTCTGCAACAAACTGATCATCACCTTCACTTAGCGTCATGGCTGGCACTCCTTAGGGGCGCTCTGGATGCCCTAGGGCATGCAAGTGCTGGTAGATGTCTGGACCACTGACCCAAGCTCCCGGCCTAGGCTGGTCAGGCACTGGCTTGAGGCCCCGGTGACTGTACTGACCAGACCTCCGCTGCCTGCACTGGAGTTTATGCAACGACCCATGCCAGCCCTTACACACTGACACATAAATGTCGGTGTCGGTTGCAAATTTACCTCCTCTCAGAGCCATAAAAAGCAGCCATGGAAAGCAACTCGGTTTGTTTCTCCACTTACGATGGCAGTTCCATCAGGCAGAAGGAACAGACCACCTTTAAGAAATAAGCGCAGCAGAAGATATGAAAGGTTCCCAAACTCTAAAACTGTGTCTTTTTGTTCCTATATAAATCTCTTTGCTGCTTGTTCTTTGATGTACTTCTGCTAACATTCCCAAATCCAAAGCACTGTTTACCCTCAGTTACTATGTAGCTTAAGAGTTGGTAAATAAACGTATCAACTAGAGGAACTAAAGCCTAACTTTTCCCATCCTACACCAGTGTCTCATGGGGCCACACACCGTGAATCTTGAATCATTTTCTGCACAGCAAGACAGACTCAGCCAGCAGAATGAAGCATGCCCCTACCTGGCCTTACAGCCTTCAGGTTCTTACAGTCCTCTGGGCAGTGGTATGTGTGAATTTGAACCCTCTTAGATTTTAGAAAGAATGCATCGCTCAGCCTTGTGAAGTATCTTTCACACTTAAATACTGTTCCATGTCTTACTGAAAAGGACCTAAAAAAAAAAATTTAATGAACATCCACCCCCTGAATTTACTGCAGGTGAGTACTTCTCCTTCCAAAGAACAAGGCCTGCAAGCTCTGAACTGGAACAGCTGAAGCCTCCTCACTCACCTTAAGGTTTCCCTATGAGCTGGCTTGAGGTGACTCCCTGCAGAGGGTATGGGATGTTTGGATTGCCGCCGGCTGCAGCAACAGCACAAAACTGTAGGGAGAAATTGTGCTGCCATAGGGCCCGTGGGCACGAGGCAGCAGGCGAGATGCTTCGGCTCGTTACAGATCACTTATTCCCAGTTACACTGACAGCAGCTCCAACGTGTCGCCATGCATTTTTGGCTCAGAAGCACCTTAATTTTAATAAGAAGCTGCAATTATTTCTCTGCTGCATTTTGAAGGGTTTTAACCAAAACTGTCCGCATTTCTTCAGGAAAGGACAGGGCCATTAGCTTAATGCTATACGGTTTGCACCCAACATTTCTGTAGATCTGTCCTGCCATGTCATCTTTAGTAGCAGCTCTTGAAAACTGTGAAAGCAGAAATTACGTATTTTTACCCTAAAGCTGAAATTAATCCTGAAGCACAATTCTGCATAAGGAGTGATTTCCTTGGGCATAAGACACGTCAGAAACATAAAATACCATGCTAAATGTTGATCACGTTATGAATTCGTTGATGTACATGCATTGAAAAAGAAAAATGGAACACATATTATTTTGCACGTGGCTATACTATGAACACCTGAAATGTTGATGGCATGACCGCCAATGACCTCAGGGTACTAACAGACTCTGATGGCCCTAATCGTCTCGTAACCATCATTTTCCTGCAATACCCCCGTAACCTCTTCTCCGCTTCCTCCTAGGGATTTAGCTACCTGTGTTCAAGGTCACTCTGATACGCACACCTCTGCTATCTGCTATCAGCAACCTGAAGTGGTACCTCTGATGGCCAAAGCAATGAAGCCATCACAGCAGGGGCATCACCGCTTTCACCGGGGCTGTTGTCTCTATCATTACACTCACTTCTATCCCTATTTTTGCTAAACTCCACTAAAACCAATACAGTGAGGAGTGTGGAGAAATACAAAATTGCTAGTTCTGTACAGAAATAATTACTTGAGATTGCTCTTCTGCATTTGAGCTCCAAGATCTTCTTGACTTTACCTGCATTAGTACTCCTGGACTTGCACTGAATTCAGTCAGTGGTAAAGTTACATATTTGAGTCTTCAAAAAGAGAAATATAGTGTCAGAGGCTTCTGATGACTTGTATTTTAATTGCTTAACAAAAAATTGTATTTACTAAGCACAAAATTATTTCCACTCACAATTACTATACTAGTCCTTTCAAAATTATTACAAAAATAAAGTTAGAAAAGTGTTTTTTAAGGATCTGCTAGTGTTACTATTCAAAAAAAAAAACCCCACAGCCAATATCAGTTAAATGGTTTTATTCTCAAAACAACCAATCGGCAATATAAAATATTTTAACACTATTTCTGTTTAAATATTGGTGACAGATTACGCATTTCCTTAAATAAAGTGCTATTTTTACAAACAGGTATGTCATAATTACTTTTACTGCTGTTCTAACCTCTTACTACTGAATAGATAAAATGTATTTTGGTTAATGAAGAGTGCAGCATTACTTTTCCTTTATATTCCTTCTCATGACACCATTACATTTTTAATTTGGACACCATTACATTTTTAATTTGGACTCCTTCATCTGTATCCAGCCAACAGAGGCATACTCAGTTTATATATTTCTCCATGCAGAAGTTCTCATAATTCATGGTGGTCTCCATGCCTTCTTCCATGCTGTTGCTGTTCTTGACTGTGCCCATGTAGGCCTCCTATGGGTTCCTCATCTCTGGGCAAGGGAGGAATGAAAACATCAATCATCTTATACGGTCATTCATTCTTCCTGTTCTTGTGACTTTTTCTTCTCAAATCCAGACCACTGACGCCTTGAACAATTCAACTTCGGTTGAACTATAAAAGCAATCTCTTTACTGTTTTCATTGATTCTTTGTGGGATTCCAATTTTAAGTACATTACTGCAGAAAGTCCTATACAGGTATAGTTAGGAATAACTTTTCCAATTTTCATTTGTACACTTGGATTTACTCAGCTAGATGTCAAACTTCACCATAAGAAAAAAAATCTTTTTTTCCAGTAGCTACCTTTTAGGAGAAACAGCTTCTTGCGGTTTTATAGAGCAGCCGGGTGCTGTAAAAGAAAAAAAAAAAATCCGAAAAACTGCAACCAGCAAGACTCACAGCTTTAAAGACAACAGCGTAATTCCACAATTACCGGCAACACGCCCACATTTCCCAATATCATTTTTATACCAGACTCCCAACAATCTGACCCTGTTAATTCATTTTAGTCATCTTAAGCCCTCTCCTGCACAGAGAAGGTAAGAAAAGTGAGAGTCACGTGCGAAAAGGTCATCTACTGCCACAAACCTTTCCAGTATCTCTCTTTTCTCAATGCATGCCTTTCCGGCAAGTGACTATCCGAATCCTGTATGATTTTTATTTGCAAGTCTATATTGGTTTTATTCCTATTTATACTTCTCATACTGCAATCTCTCCAACTCCCTCCTTTGGATAATTTCCATTTGATATTTTTGACTCTGAATCCAGAAGTGGAAAGCAAATATACAAGTGACCACCCACTCTCTTCCACTTCATTCTGTCACATCTTTTAAAACACCTACATATGTAGGTACATATGTCTGCAGATACATATATGTAAGCATGTATCAATATGCTACATACTATTATATGTACAGAGAAAGTGGAAGACCAGAATTACTGCAAAGAATTATAGATTGAATGACATCATATTCTTTTTTCATCATAGTTACTCGTCATTTAACTTGTATCTGGAGAATATTCAGTTTATTCTTTTGGTATCTAAGTCCTCCCTTTGTTCAGTGCCCCTGCTAGATGTCGGGGTGTTCTCTTTTCTTCCCACCTATATAAGAGAAGTGTTATGTTTAGGTGGGGGAGAGCAGCTGGATGTCTGTACCAAGTGATGAAGCTCAGCTTTAAGTATTTCAATAAACTTGATATCAGAAACTAAGCCAACTGGCAGTTAGCTTTACCTCTAACAAATCTTTGTTGATTTTTTTCACAATGAGGTAAAGAAATGCCCTGGGAGAAAAAGATTGTGTCCTTCAGAGTATAAACCTTGGATGCTCTCTTGCTTTTTTTGTGTCATTGTTGTAGAAATGGCAAATTCTGTTACAAGCCCTAGACTTGGGGGGGCTTGTAACTCCATGAACTGTTTCCATTTTTTATCACAGATCTAAAATGTAACACTGCCTTATATACGATTATAACTAGCACATGGGATTTTATTTCTGTTCTTCTGTAAAAAATAATTTCAGTTAGTTTGCACCTTTTTTCTCCCATAGGTTCATAGAATTCACATGAACTTTTTCCAGCTTTTCAGTTTTGATTTGGCAAGTCTATATTGAGATGCAGCTTGCTCTCCTTTGGTGTCGCTTCTTTCAATGAATGGGCAGACCATTGCCAGACTTGTTCGACCTCTTAATTATCCACTTGATGACTGCATGAATCTTGACACCACTCCACACACACACACCCCCCCAAAAAAATCCACTCAAACCCTAAACAGTTAGTCCTGGCACTTGGGCATTCAAAAAGTCTGGATGTTTCTTGTAAGCAAACAGGTCGCCTTTGAGTACAGAGGAGGCCACGAAGCTGATCAGAGGGCTGGAGCACCTCTCCTATGAGGACAGGCTGAGAGAGTTGGGGTTGTCCAGCCTGGAGAAGAGAAGCCTCTGGGGAGATCTAATTGCGGCCTTCCAGTACCTGAAGGGGCCTACAGGAAAGCTGGAGAGGGACTGTTTATCAGGGAGTGGAGTGACAGGACAAGGGGTAATGGGTTTAAGCTGAAGGAGGGTCGATTTAGATTAGCTGTTAGAAAGAAATTCTTTACTGTGAGGGTGGTGAGGCACTGGAACAGGTTGCCCAGAGAAGTTGTGGAGGCCCCCTCCCTGGAAGTGTTCAAGGCCAGGTGGGATGAGGCTTTGGGCAGCGTGGTCTAGTGGAGGGTGTCCCTGCCCATGGCAGGGGGGTTGGAACTAGATGATCCTTAAGGTCCCTTCCAACACAAACCATTCTATGAATCTATGAAAACTACAAATACAAACATCTCCTAGGGTGATATAATTTCTTAAATCCAGTTTCCTCCGAAATCTGGACTTCATGCTGCCACTTGGTGTTTCAGTCCAGACCAAGGAGGAGCATTTTGTTCCTCAGAGCAGTCATCTTGCCTCATACCTCCAGGGGCTGGTCATCTGCTCTACATTTAAATGGTGAAGCAGCAAGCTAATTCTGTATTTGTTTGACACAGTTCACTGGGTTATAAAGAAGAAGTATCTTCCTAGTAGTTTCTCTATCAAGGACAGGGTGATTAGCATGCATTGGCAATTTTCCAGGCCTTTTTTTTTTCCCTTGAAAACTACCAAAGTGTCAAAAAACCCCTGTAATATTCACTCTTGGAATGAATTAATTTTGGCAGAATTTTCTGAAGGTCACCAATTAATTTCCATGGAAAAAAAAGAGACAGAAGCAACACTCTCCATGCAAGTACTGTTTGCCTAATCAGAACACGGACAAGAACTATGGTGCCCCCGAACCTAACGGCTTACAGGACCAGTAACCCGTAATTATTTATACTGCAGTTAGGGCAGTCACCTGCCCTAGGCACTTCAGGCAAGGACTGGAATATGGAGCTCCCACAGCCTAACCCAGTATCGCTGCCGCGGGGTGGGGAGGAAGCGGTCTCAGTATCCTTCTGACAGAAAACAAGTGTATGTCAAAGCCTGTTGTTTTCTGCAAAGCAGAATCATGTCGCTTCCAGCCCCAGGGATGACACAGCAACTGACATACAAAGGAATCTTTCTCCCAACAGTGAGCTTTATTATAATTGAAATAGGTCATCTGCCACAACTCAACAAACACTCAGCAACTTTTCTATGAGTTCTTGTAGTATCACAGTCAGTTCAGGAGCAATGACCTCAGGAAGAGATGCTCACCCAGAAGCTAGCTGAGGATACAAGCGAGCAACTGATTTTGAGTTAGCACAAAAAAACCCCAAAAACCAAAAACCGACACCCAAGAAGAAACTGTAGTATCTTCTCTAAACAAGCCTGTAGTGTGAAATTAGTTATACCATCAATCCTCTACTTCTGATGGTCTTGCTTTTACTTTTTCTGCTTATCGTTGTTTTCTTCTCCCACATCCTTTAGAAGTGTAACTGCAGATAATCACTGCAGTTCTCTTTTCCATTCTAGAAACACTCCTCTAGGTGGTTTTCTATTTCTGTTGCCTGCCATCTCAGACCAGGCTTGATGAGCAGCAACAGCTCCTGACCCAGGGGCAGCAGGAGAGGGGCTCAGCCTGGGCAGTGTGGATTGGGGCATTTTGGGAGGAACTGAAGCTAAGTGGGCATTGGAGCTATGGATGGGGAAGGGCGTGGAAGCTGTAGACATACGCAGGCTTGGTGATGGCAGTCAGCCTACAGACCTCCCACGATTGTAAGCTACATTTCCAGGAAGTGAGGACTTAGTTCCTTTTCCCCTGCTTTTTCATTTCTGAGTCTTATGGATATATTCAAATTGTATTTCATTGTCTTCTTTACAGCCCTACAGGCTGGAAACTTCATAAAAGCAGAGCTACACTGGCAGCCACTCTGTTTAAGGTATTGAGCTTTTAAAATTACTCAAAATATTGAGCAAATCAGAGTGATAGGTGTGAAAACAGCGATATTGACTCAGCTGGAAGAACAGGATGTTTTTACTATCCAGCGAGCTACCTCTAGCTTTCTAAAAGGGCAAATCATGAAGTGGCTTTCTTGCAAATGGTGTCCAGACAGGCTCCTAGGAAGAGCTGTAGAGAAACCAGTGGTTGTGGACCACGCAAAAAGCATGAAAATTTCACATATAACTTTTCAAAGACATCACAGGAGGCAGCCAGTTACAGATGCCATCATGTCAATCGATGATTAGAGTGTAAGGAGCTAGAGAAGTAAGTTCACATCAGAAAAACTAAATGTATTCACCATGGAAAAGCCTGGGAAGGTTCCCATTTCAGAAGCCTTCTTTATGTGGGAGTCCAAGGTATCTTAACCTGAAGTATTGGTAAAAAAGGTTATGAAACAAATGCACAAAGCAAATAATAACAAATTGCTAAGCCAGATGTTCTAGAGGAACACAAGGATTAAACAGCTGAACTGCTGAGTACAGAACACAGGTTCTTGTTTAAATTGCCACATAACTGAGAAGTGATAAAAACAATGCTAAATTTTTTTAATAGTTCAAGAGCAGATCCAGGGAAACGCAGACCAGTGAGATGGCCAGTAGTACCAGGCAGATTAGCATAAACTATAATAAAGAATCTGAAATTTTGTGGAAAACAATCAAAAAGGGATTTGAAAAGTCTTGCCTCACCAACCTACTGGAATTCCTTGAAGGTGCCAACAGTCTTTTAGATAAAGGAAATCCACCTGATGCCTGGATTTTAAAAAAAGGATTTCACAAGGTCCAAGGCTGGCTCTTAAGACAATATGGAAGCCAAGAGGGTAAAAAGAAAATTTCTTGTGTGGATAAACAATTGGCTAGGAAGGCAGAGGACAAAAGGTGGGAGTAAACAGTGGTTTTTTCCATAGTGGAGAGACTCGCCGCTAGTATTTCATAGGGATCTGCACAATGACTCAGGATATTCAATATATGACTTTGAAAGGGCATACAGAGTGAAGTGACAAACTTTCCTAAGTTATCCATGTAAATAAAAAGAAAGGCAGACAGAAGACTGGCAAAAGGACTTCATGAGACTTGCCAAGACAACAAGATGGCAGACAAAATTTGGTGAAGATAAATATGAAGTAATACGAAGTAAGGCATATGGAAAAAACAATGTATGAGTGGTTATATAAAATGATAGGCTCTGAGCTTGAACCCAGTAGATGAGCTGCATTGTAAGAGAGAGTTCCAATTAATACCAATTCAGTCTTCAGTTATACCCAAAAAAGCAGAGTACTAGAAATAACTAGGAAAGGGCAAGAGAACTGAAAATAGAGAACACACTAAAAACCAAACATCACTGTGTTATGTGGAAATCCATGGTATGCCTACATCTTGAATATTTTATGCCAGGCTGGTATCTCCAAGTTTGAAATTATATAGTAGAAAAGGAAAAAAGGTCAGAAAATCTATGGTATAGGGAATGACTAAGCAGCCGCTATGTCTTCCATCTGGAAAAAAACATGTCTGAGGAAAAGCATCACAGGTATCGGTAAAATCATCAGTGACATGGAGGCAGTGAAGAGGGAACAATTGTCCACTGTATCTTCTGATCCAGTAGGATGAAGCAAAAGAAGTCAGGACATGGCAAGTTCACAGCAAATGAAAGTAAGCAGCTCTTCACACCAGTGTCAAATGAGACGGGATGAAAAAGCTGAACACAACTGTATGGACCTTGGATCTGACTCAGTACAGCTGCTCTTACACTCTGAAATATTACACATTCCTGGAAATTACTTGAAGTTCCAGAGAGTGCATAAGGGTCCCACTGCTACTTTTTACAATAAAAAGCAGCTTACCTGGTGCAAAAACTTCTTTTATCTACATGTTCTCTTCCTCTTCCGTCTCTGTTAGTGCTTCTGTTGCTGTTTCACAGACAAATCTGTTTCATGGAGCTCTCACACAGAAACGTTACATCCGAATACTTCTTCAGTTCCTGAGTGATTCCAGTTCATTGCACTATATTATCAAATCCCAAACAGCAGATTCTCCTCACCTAGTAGTACCTACAGAAGAGGCTCTTCAAGTCTGGGATGTTATCAAGAGACATCCCGAAGTTCCCACACATGCCGACTACTCTGAGGATGGGAAGCCGCACAACGCATAGTGACACCTGACAGTGGCTTTCAGCCAAGCAGACTATACAGAATACAGAAAGTAGCCCACACTGACTGATGACCCCAGCAATGCCCAGTGTTCCCCAAGACAACAGTAGGACAACAGTTAGCACCTGCTTTCATATATCTAGTGATACTCAGCTGACTGAGATTGAAAAAGGGAATTGCTCATTATTAAGGCCTCCTAAAGCACACAATACCTCAAATATTATTTAACATAACCACTAAACAAATGAAATCATTTTGTGAGCACATGCAAGCAGCAAAATAAGCAACTGAATGAGAATAAGAGGCACTTTAACATGGTGAATTTGTCGAGGCCATTCAGCGGCTTTCATGTTCCTCCTAAAACATGGATCCAGAAATACACATACTAATGGGTTTTGCCCCATTCCTTAACCTTGAGTAACAGATGTGTATTTGCCTTTGGCTCAGGTGGCTGGCCAAAAGAGATTGTGCCAAAAAGAATCTCTGGCCAGAGATTTACAACTTTTATATCTAGGGGTGACTGTAGTAAATGTATTCATTGTTACAGGTCAGCAACACCTTTCTGTACATTTCGGTTATAGATAGTACATTTTAAGAGGCAGTTTCTTGAGCAATAGCTAGCAATTAACACTGGTGGTTAGAATAGATACATTCCAAAGAAACTGACTATAGGCAATCATATAAACATATTACCTATACAAAATAACTAAATGCATACATACATAAATAATTAAAATAGCTATCTAAGCCAGTATACTACATTGTAAACCTTGAATATATTTAATCTACTTGATCACACTAAAGAAAATTGTCTCCTCTAAAGAGTATTTTGCAAAAGTAAATTATGTATCATACAGAAACACACCTCCCACTGCTGATATATATACACACACTACATACAGTATACTGTATACTACAGTTTGCTATACATCCATTTTCTGTGTTTAGTAATGCATAACAAAAATCTTATGCTTATTTCAGATAGTACTGAAGCGTATACAAAAATCTTACAGATATCTCTGCCTTTTTACCTTGAAATCTTCTTTATAGTCTCAGCAAAAGACACAGACACACATCTATCATGATAACCCAGAAAGCAGTTAACTGGCTTGTTTGTCACATTCTGTGTTCTAGTCAGTATTAATTAAAAGTATCCATACATTTTTCAATTAATTTCAGGTGCTACTTACGCTGGGAGTGACCTGGAGGTCGTGTGTTACTAACACTACTCTCAAAGGAAGAGTGGAAATTGTGTATAGTTTCTTGTAGAATCTGTCTCTCTCGTCCCTGTAAAAGCACAATAAATTAAATTAAGGTATTCTTAAATTTCTGTTTAAAAAAAAAAAATTAGTGAGAGTTGACAAAAAAATGTGTAAATATGTGTGTCTATGCCCAGAGAGTCACAGTGTACTATTAGGAATAACAACAAATCCTTACCTCGCAGATATGTAGAAAACCTTCTAGTAATCTTTTCCTGAAACTACCAGACACCAATAGAAACATTTTTATGATTTTCTTCATAGCTTTATAGCATGGAGCATCATCCACCTCCCCTAATTTTTAGCCTCATCACTTGCTGCTGTTGATCTTAACTTGAGGAGATTATGTTTTGTTTATCTGAGCTTCCAGTTTCAGAGACAGAATGGATTTCAGAACTGAAAAAGCAGCTGAGAAGTGTCAGCAGGGCTAAAGAGATGCTCCAGTTCATTATCCCTCTGACAAGAACATTGCTCACCGTATGCCATTCTTAGCAGATTTGTTTATGTCAATATAAAATTAAAAGGCAATAAAAGTGTAAGGAATGAGAGAAGTGCTATTTCCTTAATCACAGAGAAATCAAAAACCTTATGCAAAACAAAGGAGACCTTTCCTTTTACATTACATTCTAGAGCCGGACTATAGAGGACAGATGAGTCTTTTTACCATCACTGAAATCAACGTTCAGTAACTGCAATATTGCCCATGTTCATGTTACCAGCAGCTTCTGATATAATTGCCAATATTCTGTAAAAGAACTCTACAGTCACTGAACTAGGAAAAAGTTAATGAAAGAGAACAGAGAGTAACACAAAGAAAGATATTTTTCACTAATGAAATACATTAACTATTTTGTTTGGAAAACATTCATTTGGCTTTTCTAACTAACATCTGCAACTGAATTTTGAAATATATGCTAGGTTAACAATTAAGCAAACCTTGAATTAATTTACCAAGTATAGTGCTTTAAAATGTACCTTTCCTGCATTCAGTTCAGAAATAGCTGCCAAAATTTGCTGCCTTGATCCATCGGTTTTAATACCCAGCTCTTTCAGATCACCATCAGTAAGTGTAAGGAAGGCTTCCATATCCACCTGCATATGGGGGGCGGGGGGGGAGGCAGGGGAAGACAAGACAAATTTACCTAGGCAGAGATTCACTATTACAAGTTAAAAGTGTTTGGGTTTTTTTAATTGTATAGACTTAATGTAAATATTACAAAATAATTTAATGAATTACCAGCACCAAATGGTACCCACTTTATTACTCTGTTGCTGGGTTTTAAATCTGCAGTTAATCCAATTAATTATGATAGCATATTTAAAATTTTAATGGATTAACTTTTTTCCAGACAAACTCTATCAATACAAAATATATACTGTCCACAAAAATTCCTCTACTTACAGTAGCAGCTAGTTGAATAAGCCTAAGATTTCTCTCTTTTCTTTTATTCCCCCCACACCAAGTATTTTTGGAATTTCAGAATATCGTGCGTACTTTTCCAGTGTCTCCTGAGAAAAACCTAGGGTTTGTTCATATATCAGTTTTTATTATATCAACACATCCATAAGGCTGTGATAAGAACAAACATCTAAAACTTTTCATATTGATATAACCTTCACACACAGAGCATATTCATTTCTACAAATGCTCTCTTCCCTATCACGTCAAGGACGAATAATAAGCACAGTGTATTGTGATGCAGCTAAATAATCTGTGTTTGTGGTGCTGAACTCTGAACTTTGCAGCAATGTCAATTTATTGTATGTCCGTTCACCACCCTCTGCCTTTTGCCAAACAAACATACAATTATTGCTCACATGTGATATTGTCTTAAATGTTGTAATGAATTATTTTAATTTTCAACAATGTTTCCTTTCATTGCATCCTTCAGGCAAGTCACTGTCACAGGTCTCATCTACAGGGATGCTTAAGTTCCCCAGTTTAATTCTCCTGTAGCCTATTTGTAGCAAGTACAGAAGAGAAAGCAGCCATCTCAGTGACTCACGCCCTGCTGTTCTCTGTCAGCTCTGATTCCAGGGATAATACACTATGTCCTATAAACTGTTTAGACACATTGGATATAGACATATATAGAAAAAGCAGAGTGCAAAAACAGAGAGAAAAAAAATCTGAAGCACCTTTCTATATCAAAATTGTACGTTCAGTGTAAAAAGCACTGATATTTGCAGTATCCTGGAGAATGCCAGGAACACCGCTTGGTCCACGTTTCAAGGTCCTCTCTCAACCAGAAATGGTTGTAAAACTTTAAATTTGAGATTCTGGATCACAATTCTGAGGCAATGTGTGTCACACCCTACTTTTTCTAAAACAGTAAAAAATAAATCTTTTAAAAAAGATGTACCTCTTGTTCCTCAAAAATAGGTTGATATTTTTCAAGGGACAATTTTTTAAGGATGCCAGTCAGCTCATCTGTAATAATAGAAAAGAAAAAGAAAACACACACACCCCCCCGCCATGGATCAGGAAAGATTTTAGTGACCTCTGCATTGTTAAGTGCTGAAAATATATATTAAAACATATATTCCACACAGTGATACATGATAACAAAAAACCAATCATATTCAATCTGCATCAGAAATTAAAATATTGACTTATTGTGTTCTCACCTACTTCTGCATACTGTAATTCTATCTAGACTTACCTTGCTAGGATAAAATCTTTCTGTTGTATTGCTTTTATTCCTCATTAAAAGGATCTTAAAAATCCAAACCACTAAGGACAGCTGGGGCACTTCAATGCCTAAAATGCAGGTGCTTGGCCCCAGATCATGCAGGTTAGACAGCAAAACTCCTCAAGCAGGCAATAAACTGAATGGTGCATTTCTATGTCATGATCCAGGAAGGCAAAGTGTAGAGTAAGCAACTACGCAGTTGCTTACTGATACAACAAGGGTATATCTGAACCTCTCCTCCTCAAGTGCCTGACATCCAGCAATCTTGAACACAGACAGCTGAAGTCTAGCTAAGATGAAACCTGGGCAGATTTAAGTTTCCTAAGCTTATCTTCCAAGGCTAACGGCACTGGATATTGGGTTCCCTCTCAAAGTCTAAGGAAATTCAAAGATGGAGGATTTGATAATGACTTTTCCCACACATTTAAAATGTGATTAGACAGTTTAAAAGTGTAAGTGCAGTTTTAGAATTACCCACCATTACCTCTCTTAAATACCTCTCTCAACTACGGATTCTGTTTATTTTTATTGCTTTGCTGTTACAAGTGACTATTTTTTTTCCCAGAAGTACCAATGTGGTCAGTTAAACTAAGTCAAAATGAAGAACATGAATTATTACATTACACAACCAAACTATATTTAATATTCCCCATATAAACTCCGTTTCATTGTAAAGATATCACTATTCCATTCCCAAGTATAATTTGATTTATTTATTTCACTTTGTCTTTTGACTGTCCCTTTTCTTTCATCAACAGTAGACACATGAAAGAGAATCTCAGTCTCCAAGCTTCTAAAAAGACGTCAAGTATCTTGAGATGGACACACTGCTCTATGCACCATTCTAGAAGTCTCCTTCTTTACATAGAAGAGCCCACAGAAAACTGAAGTGAAAAATTCTAGTTGAGTCTTACATTCTGCTGGGGTTTTGGGTTTTTACCTCAAGGTCAAATAACTCGGTACACTTAACATGATTTGTAAAGGTTGGCATGGTTTCAGGCTAAAAGCTTTAGTACCCTAACTGAGGTTAATCCATAGGAAAACGTAACCAGCTTTAAAAACATTGCATGAGAACTTCTCCATGCAGTTTGATGAAAAACACAATCTCACAGAAAAAAACCAGAAGTTTCATTAGAAGCCCTTAGATATATTACTAACCTTTTTTTCTTTTAGGTTGTTAGTTAGCTTTCTCATTTTTTTATCACCTTAGTGGGCTTAAATTATAGGCTGTGATATGGGAAGAAACTTTCAGGGTCTCTGAGCCCAGAGCCCTGCAGTCATAAACAATTATAACATCTAACACTTTTCACGCACACAGAGAATGCTTGCAGTTGTAGGCCTTTCACATTTTCTTTTCCTCTTTCAGTTCTGGTATTATACATTAAGTTTGAACAAAACTGAAACCTCTGTTTTACAACTCTTGCATAACATTGTTTCCCCTCTGCTTTTTCACTAGGTCTTTCTTTTGCTCTACTCATATCTCCTCTCCTTACCTGCATCCCTGGAGAAAGCAAAGGTTCCCAGAACTCTGACTACTTCTGCCACATTACTCCTACTTAGCACCTCTTTTGTACTACTCTGTAGTAGTAGAGTGAGATTACCTTTCTCCAAGTTTTCAGAGCCTCCTTTTACTCTCACATGGTTTCGTCTTTCATGATTCTCTACATCGCTGGTTTTCAGAATAGGGACATGCTGTTGATGGTCCACCAAGTGGTTGCCTAAAAAGAAACCATGCACACCTCTGAACCCAGCTGCCTACTGTTCCTTCACAGTAATATCCAATGCAAATCTATTCTCTAATTCATTTAAGTTTACTTGAAAGAAGAAGTTAACACTGCAGGCCTTCAGTACTTATTCTTCTGATTACTGCTGTGCCTTGAACCAGCTCACAGTAAAGCCAGCCCTTGAATTAAAGGGCCACTTAACTATGCGAGCACAATGAATCCAGAACTACTTAGGCTTCTGACTACCTATCCCTCTGCTACAGAGGAAACTCACTGTATCACGGCACTAGTGGTGCAGCCACAAAGGCCTGCTTCTCCAGGTGAGACTGTAACAGCTGATAGCTTGGGGAACTCCCCTTCTCATCCGACAGCAAGTTCTCTTCCCTTCATGTATTTCTAAACCGACAACTCTTACGCTATCAAGCCATCGTTATAAAATGGCACTAACTAAAATGTGAAGGGATTTTCTCCAGCAGTCAGTACAATATGTTACAGTTAAGCCATGACGAGAGGACAGAAAGCAGGTCAAATATCACCTCTCTTTAGTGTCAAATGGAAGTGCAGTGTCAATGGACAAAGTTAGCATAAATGAAAACAAAATCAATATGGACACTTTCAAAAAACCAAAAAAAGTACAAAGTGCCTCCTGCAGAAACCAGATAAAAGGTATCCCCATCTCTTATTTAAAAGATTCTGAGTCATGTTATTGTTTTCGCTTTTTCTGAGATGTTTACAGAAGAAAACAAAGTAATTGATATCCTGTTTCCAATACAGTAACGTGACTTTATAAAATAAAGTGTTGTAATTTAGACCTAAAAGTTCAACTTAAAAGGCAGTAATCTTACTGGAAAAGTAATAACATTATTTTCTTATGACCTAAAGTTAAAGCTAAGGTCAAAATAAGGCTGATTTTGTAGTTTAAAAAAAATAAATGCAACACAGCTCTTAAAAATCAATTGCATGTACCTATGACTTGCTATGAATCAAAATTGTATTTCTGTAGTGATGTGCTTCACTGCATTTTTAAAAAAAGGTTTTAATTTTGAATTTGGAGAAAGTGCATTTTCTACCCTCAGCAAAGGGTGGAAAAAAAGGATTTAAGCTAGAAAGGGGAGAAGAACGGAGGCCACATAAGACTGGCTTACCTACATGCTCTACGCTAGCTTTAAGATGGTACCAATGTCCCTCTAAATGGAAAGTGTCACTGCTTTTGGGAGA